ATCTGTATAATAGAAAAGTGTTTTCGCAGGTCGGATTTTCTTTTCGGAAAAAAGTGGTCAGAGGATCGACGGGAAGAATTGAATTGTGTATAGTATGTATTGGTTCTATATATTTGTTTAGATTACATTTGTGTATATTATGCATTACTAGCAATTCCTCTAGTAGTATTTTTATTTTAAATACTTTTAGTTTAGATGCTTCATAATCAGTGTGTCTTGTTTTAGGATTGTAGTTGAAGTTTATACAGCTATAGAATAATTCCTATTTTATATTAGTTATATACTACTATTTTTTAGTTCTGTTTTATAAGTAGCATATTGTCATTGCCTCTGCATTTTGTAAATTTCGTATAAACTTTCTTGTTTTGTATTCAATCAATGTATCATTCCATTTTAATAGGTATGTTGTATATTTTAGCTCATAGTAGTTTAGTTCGATTGCTAGTTCTATATCATTTGTTGATATTGCTGAATTTGTTGCTTCTCTATATTCAATTTCAACGTTTAGTCTTTTTACTGCAATTATTATTTTTATGCTATTCTATATAGGCCAGTTTGTTTCTTTGTCTGTAATATTTATTGTTGTATTTGGTTATATTAATTTTTTGCATTGTTTTGCTGTGGATCTATTGTTTGTATGTATTGTTATTTGACTATCTACTCTAGCTATATATAGTGCTGTAATTATTGATATAGTGTCTGCTTTTGTTTTAGAAGGCCAGATTGCTATTTGTACTTTAAAACTTTTGTTTCCATTATGTAGTACCCATGCTGTATATGCATATTTTTTGTTGCTCTCAATCTTCACTTCTGGTGTCATAGTGAAGATTAAGTTTTTTATACTAGCAACTGTTTCTGCTATATTTATTAAAGCTTCTATATGTGTTGTATTTTGGTATAGATTCATGCAGATTTGTTTTGTTGTTTGAAGATTTTTATTGCTTCTGCTAACTTATTCTATTATCTTTGTTTGTATTGTTTTATATAATTCTTTATCTCTTAAAACATTGTGAATTTGCTTTATATTACTTCTTATCTTCTTTTGTCTGTTTACGTATATTTTACTATACTTTGTTAACTTTAATGTTATTGCATATTTGTTGTAATAAGAGTTAGTTGACATTTTATAGCCTACACATTGTATTAATGATATATGATTTTTTGTTGTCTAGTGTGTTATCATTATATTTTCTTTTTCTAAAACTTTAATTATTCTTCTAATCATATATTGGTTTTTAACTTTAGTATAGATCCAATTTCTTTTTTTATACTCTGTGTTCTGTATAATAAAGGGATTAGATGTATACAATTTTGTAGTGCTATTTGTATATACTCAAGATTTGTATTTTCGATTAACATAGTATACTATTTTAGCATTTTCCTCAAGTGTAATCTACTAGTACTATATGAGATTTTTGTCTAATCTGTTGTAGATTTGTTATTATAGTTAGTTAGCTATTTGATAAAGTATATATGGGATCTCCCACAGCAAAACGAGGCAGTGGGATGATCATCTGATTTTGAGAAAATCGCATTTGAAAATTGTCATGTGATTTACAACTGATTTCTCAATTTTTCGGCCTTATCTTTATAATTGACAAAGAATTTTTTTTTTTTATTAATTTATTTTACCAGCAATATGTAAAATTATAAAAAATATTGTTCTTTGCACTTTCATTTATTTAATATTTATTTTTTTACCATCGCCATTATTATTTTTTTTGAATAAATATCGATCCTATAACGTTGAGTTTTTTAACGTTAAACTATTTTTTTATTTTAAGTTATTGCTATTACCGTTAAGTACTTATCAGTTATTATTATGCTTATTTATTTATTATTTATTTATTTATTTATTGAGGTAGTACGTACTGTACATAAAAAAAATTTTACCACCAGCTAGACAATCAAGTTTATTCCAGATTCTACTTTTTAACTTTATTTTATTTAAAAGCGCAAAAATCAAACTTGTTTTACGCTAAATTAGGATAAATTAAACTGTTATTTACATTGAGTTCAGCACAAATCTAACGTAACGCTACAACTAATAAAACTATTGCTATAGAACAAATTTAACTTACTTTTTATCCTGGATTTTTGGTTCAGGACAAGTAATGTTGCGGAAAGGTAAATCAATATAGGGTGCGATCTCTTTATATAATTCTTCCTGTCTCTTTTGAGAAAGTGGTTTGACATCAATCGTAGGGAGTAGGGTATCGGCATTAAAAGAAAAGGGACGAATTGTAAAACTTTCATAACTATCTTGAAGATCATCTTTAAAAAAGACGATTCCAGGGTGCTGCGAAGTAAAATAAAAATGATGGTACTTTTGAATATGAGGTAAATTTTTGAATGCTTGAAAGTAATTTTTAAAATTATAATATTGAAAGCCTTTTCTATTAAGATAACGTTGAGCAACATTAAAATTAATTCTTGTAGAGCAATTAACAATCGAGACTACATCTTCTACAGTATTGACCTTGCTTTTTCGGTAGAGAATTTTGATTAGATCAAAACAACCATCACATATAAATTTTGTGTGCCTTGGAATCATAAAATTTAACTCAACTTCTTCATACATATTGCGGTCGATTAACCATGAATAAAAAAATAATGAAAAATTATTCTTATTCTGACCTATACAATTATCGCATGTAACAGTTAACTTTTTTTCCCCACGATTATATTTAAAAATTGCATGCCAAACCAAGCTTAGAGTGCAATTCACGCCTTTACCTTACTTACCATCGTCAGGCATTTCAGCTTCATCAATAACGTAATTCATTTGTTGTGTTGTGGAAAATTACCAGTGTTACAAATACCAAATAAATATACCTTCCGTAAACTTTTAAAATACAAAGCACCTATTTGTTGCGGTGAATAAGGTATTTGCACATTTTGAGCCCAATCGTATGCAATATGAGCACTACCACTAAAGCTTTTAAATAATATTTGAGAGCCAACTACATTTGGATTGTGTTTGCCATCTTCAACTGCATTTATAATATTAATATTATAGTAGTCATGTTCTTTTTGTGCTCGATTTAAGTGAGCTAAGTAACTATTAGTAAGCTCTAATTTTTTTTCATATTGTATAGTATATCTAATATCCATTTTCATGATTTCACACGTTTCACATAAATCAGTTTTTGAGGACATAAATTGAAGTGACGGCATTAATGATTTCCAAATATTAGTAAAGGTTGATTCAGCCAAAATACGAGCATCCTTACCATACTTATCTTTACAAGCCTGTACATAGTCATGATATACTAATGCATAACTAAAACTTGTCGGAAGAAATACAGTTGGCATAGTAATTTTATTACAATGACGTCCAGGTGAGGGCAAACCATGTATGTTCGAATAGTTTTTTAAAAACTTAAATATGTCACATACCAAATCATAATTAACCTCAATATGATTCATATTTTTTGGAGCTCTACTGGTATTGCCATGTATACGTTCTTCAAGGCCGTGCTCTTGCAAATGCTGTTTAATATTATTTAAATATGTACACCAACTCCAACAAGATTTAAATATGTATCAAGACACACTGGAACATCATGATTATAACAATAGCTAAAACGTAAATTTTTTCTATCATCGTTAGTAACCTTATCCATATTTTCATTTCTTTGAAAAGCTAGAAGCTGTCCCTTAATAACCATATCTCGCATATTTTTCTCTAAACTTTCAAATTCAGCTCGACGCGCAAGAAATTTTTTATAACCGATTTTCTCAAAACAGGATTGTTTAGAACGACATGAGCACTGACCTTTATCAAAAAATTTTTTAATTTTTAATTTTAAATCATCATAAATTTTATCTTCAATATAATTGTCTGGAACATCTACAAAATTGAATTCATTTAATTTATTTAAAGGAATATCAGGAAAATCATCATCGGATATTGATTCATCGTCTAATACAGAGTTAGATTCTTCGCCTTCAGAATCTGAATAATTAGCAAAAAAAGTATCGTCTAAATTTTTCAACTCAGATAAAATAACTTCATTTATACTATCATCATTGGAACGTATATTATATTCCATACTTTTAAGATAAAAAAAAAAAAATGAAAGTTCTTTGATTTTTATATTCTTCGCACCTATATAATTACATATCAAATATATACATATGTATTGTACGTATATACGTATACGTACGTACTTTATCAAATGCTACATCGCCCAAATTATCTCTTGCTTATGCATTTTACAAGTTCAAGCTGTAATCCTATGGCATTTATGTACGTAAATAGTTAGTTATCATAGCATTTAAGAGATATGATTTACAGCTGCAAATATTGTAAATCATATGTAGTACCAGTACGTAAATCGATTTTTTTACCATAACGGTAACAAAGAAAAAACTTTAAATTCGTATACATTTTACTAATATATTCAGCAAAAAAAAAATATCCTTATAAAGACAAGACTCTTAAGTAAATGATCAGCATAAAATCTCAAAATCTGATTGGTCCGCCCACTGCCTCGTTTTGCTGTGGGAGGTCCCATATGATGTTTGTTGAGTCCACTTTTTATGTCAGCTACTATCTCTCTTTTTTTCTTTTTTCTGAGTTTGTATATTATCTTATTTATACTTGTACCTTTTTGTTGTAGAGGTACTGGCCATATGTTGTTAGCATTTTTTGTTATACTACATTTCATTTTATGTATTAATTCAAGCTGTGTTGCTATAACTGTACATCTTTCATTATTTGGTAACTAGTAATCATTGTGTTCTAGTATTGATTTGTTAGTTGTAGCTACATTTTGGATCTGTTGTAGTCTTATTGCAAAGGTAGATTTACTAAACTCAGGGCTATTAATCTGTTTTACAATCGACAATATATGGTGTTGTGTTTGTATATTTTGTATACTTCTCATCAAGTATATATTATAGTGTAGGCTAGTTGAGTTAGGTACAGATCTAGCTAACTTTGCTTTTTGTTTTACAATACTTATACATTTCCTTGTATATTTATTTGCTATTGATTCATTAAGTATTGCACTCTGTATTCTATATTCAACTTTAGTGAGTATTATATTGTTGATTATATATATCACTTATTTGTCTGTTATTTTGGCTTTTCTGAGAAAGCTAATCACCTCTGATATTTCATCTATTATTATCTTATATACAGTAGTTTTGTTTGGATTAATTGTGAACCAATAGCCTAAATAGCAGAAAGCTTGTTTTTGTGTAATTGATATGATTATAGTGTTATTAAAGGTAACTATTTTTTCTTTTATATTGTTATAGAATAGATTTTTAGTTATTTTATTATCATTTTATTATTGTATTTTAGTTATATTATTAGTTACATTTATTAGTATTTAGTTATTTCTTATATTGTATTATTTTAGTATAGATATTTTAGAGTAGAAAAAATCGTTGTAATATTCATCTCTAAGTGAAGTACCTCAAGAAGCGATTATAGCGAAAAATACTCTTAGGTAACTTTGTAGCCAAGAATATCAGCTACACGATTATATAAGTTACATCTGAAGTTATTATGTAATATCTGGAGAAAATATAGGCCATAACAAGAAAATACTGTGCTAAACACTATGCTGAACTGTGCTGAATACTGCGCCAAAACTACACCAAATACTGTGCTAATACTGTGCCAGACTATGCTGAAAGACTGTGCTGGACTGTGCTGAACTGTGCTGAGTACTGTGCCTCTTACTGTGCCAAACTATTAATAGTGACACTTAACTGTCACTTGTACAAACGCTTAAGTGATGCTTGCACAAGTTGCTTACATGATACTTTGCTGACGCTTACACGACGCTTGCTAAAAGTTATAAATACAAGTAGAATTCCTCCTCTTGTCCTTTAGTTGTTTAGACCTCAACTCCTCTCTCCTCTTGTACTTGACTCTAAGTATTTATAATTAATAAATATATTGTTATTAAATAAACCTAAACGAACTACCTCTTGTAGAGTGAAACTTGTCTTTATAATTGATAAAGAAATTTCTTTCTTAGATACCGCTTCTTAAAGTAATTAGATAGCTATATTGCTGTTACTTATAGTATACTAAGAAGGCTACGCTATTTGTAACATTTGGTGTCTTCTAGCCGAATAGCTAAAAATATTAACAGAAAACTAAAGAAATATTGCTGAAAGAAAACTATCAAGGAAGAAACATCTCTCATTCAAAAGAAAACAGAGTACTTTACTTATTAGAAGTAAAGAGTAAGAACTCTAAAGCAAATTACCTACGAGCTAAAGTATAGGCGTAAGTAATTCTATTCCCAAACAAAGAATTCCTGAACAACAAAATACTTGGAAGTAACATACTCAGAAGATAACAAGAAGATAACTAGATGAAATATTCCTGGATAACAAAGAAAAAATAAACTATTGATTAAAGAAATCTCTTAGGATAAGAGAAGAACTCCTATCAAGTTATATGAATTATACTATATAACAATTTTATCAAGAAGCTATTCAAACTCATCGCAAAGAACATCTAACTGAAGACTACAGAGCTGTCTCAGTTATTCAAGCACTCGCACCTAATACTACTTGTATTGACTGCTATCTAACAAGAAAAACAAGCTGACACCAACCTTTTGAAAGATTTTGGAACTAGTACCAATGAACCTATAACACTTTAACTTATATTAGAAGAACTCAAAACTTATTTCATAACCTAGGCCAGATACATAATTCAACTACTGCTAGAACTCTTTGTCAAGATATTATATTCAGCTGTATTTACTAAAATAACAATTACAATCCTCGAGAAATTATAAGTCAATTCTTTGCTTAATATACTCACTACAATATACTTACTCTTAACCCTACATATTATAATCAGTACGACTATTATCTTGAATCAGAATACTACCCCTATTAGTGAAACCTCTTTGCAACTCAGGCATACTCTGAACCAGGAAGTCTCCAAACATTAGTTGACACACCATTAACATTTGAAGACCTTATCATATCTCCTCCATTTCTTAATCTACTACCAACTATAAACCTTTTACCTCCACAATAACAACAACCTGCAATGGCTGATGCTACTCTAAATACTACTATCGTAGCTATTACTAACCTTGCTAATGCTTTAGGACAAGGATCAGAGAAGAGCCTCATCAAAGTTGAATACTTTTCAGGAGATGGAACTCAAGACCCAGAAGAATGGTTTGAAGAATTTAGAAGAGCTACTGCTGCTAACAGATAGAATAATGATAGGAAACTTGAACTTGCCCCTGTCTTCCTCAAAGAAGTTGCCCTTAATTGGTTCACCACTCTTAACTCTGTTTCTAATACCTTTGATGATGATGGTTATTGAGACTGAAGTTTCAAACATCTCTTTAGAGAAAGATTCTATACTCCTAAACAGAAAGCAATCTGGCAAAAACAATTCTTCGAGATTAAGCAAGGCAACGATACTGTGGATGTATACGTAAATAGATTTAGAAAATTGAAAAAGAAAATCGATAGAACAAATGCCTTTCTTGTTGCTTTTGTTATTCAACTTTTTATCCAAGGCCTACGTCTTGAATATGCTATTAATGTACAAGCCTCAGAGCCTTGTCCTAAAGTATTCACAAGATCAGTCATTGCTACAGCAGTAGTATTTAAGGTAGCTTTAGCTATTGCAGATGGTTGTTGTTGTAATGGAGGTAAAAGGTTTATAGGTGGTAGTAGGTTAAAAAGTAGAGGAGGTATGATAAGGTCTTCAAATGTTAATGGTATGTTAACTAATGTTTGAAGACTTCCTAGTTCAAAGTATGTCTGAGTTGTGAAGAGGTTTTGCTAATAGAGGTAGTATTCTGATTCAAGGTAATAATCATACTGATTATAGTATGTAGGGTTAAGAGTAGGTATATTGTAGTGAGTATATCGAGCAAAGAGTTGACTTATAATTTCTCGAGAGTTATAGTTGTTATCTTAATAAGTACAGCTGAATATAATATCTCGACAAAGAGTTTTGGCAGTAGTTGAGTTATGTATTTGGCCTAGATTACAGAATAAGTCTTAGGTTTTTCCACTGTAGGTTAAAGTATTGTAGATTCATTGGTATCAGTTCCAAAATCTTCCAAAAGGTTGACGTTGGCTTGTTTTTCTTGTTGAGTAACAGTCAATACAAGTAGTATCAGGTACGAGTGCTTAAATAACTGAGATAGCTTTGTAGTCTTTAGTTAAATGTTCTTTGTGATGAATTTGAATAGCTTCTTAGTAAAATTGTTGTATAGTATAATTCATATAACTTGGTATGAGTTTTTCTCTTATTCTAAGAAATTTCTTTAATCAATAGTTTATTTTTTCTTTGTTGTTCAGGAATGTTTCGTCTAGTTATCTTCTTGTTATCTTCTGGGTATGTTACTTCTAGGTATTTTGTCATCTAGGAATTTTTTATCTGAGAATGGAATTACTTACGTCTACACTTTGGCTTGTAAGTAATTTACTTTAGAGTTCTTACTCTTTACTTCTAATAAGTAAAGTACTCTGTCTTCTTGAGGTGAGGGAATATTTCTTCCTCGATAGTTTTCTTTCGACAATATTTCTTTAGTTTTTTGTCAATATTTTTAGCTTTTCCACTAGAAGGCACCAAATATTACACATAGCATAGCCTTCTTAGTATACTATAAGTAACAGCGATACAGCTATCTAATTACTTTGATAAGCGGTATCCAAGAAGGAAGTTTCTTTAACTAATTGTAAAGACAAGTTCTACTCTACAAGAGGCAGTTCATTTAGGTTTATTTAATAACAATAT